CAGAGAGCTAGATCTTCACATAATGTGTCTGAAGTAGGATAATTTGAGCCTGGTCATTTGTACCTCAAGCGAGAACTCTGGGTTGATTTGTTCAATGATCCATTGGTTTGTTTTCTTGGCTGTCCATGGTATTCTCAGGAGTCTTCTCCAACACCAAAATTCAGAAGCATCAATACTCTTTCTATCCTGCTTCTTCAAAGTCCACCTTTTATTTCCATAGAATGTCACAGAGAATACCATGGTTTGCAAGATTCTGATGTTTGTATGTATAGATACATCACAGCATTGGATTATCTTTTCCAAGCCCTTCATGGCTGCTGTTCCAAGTGCTAGTCTATGCCGTATTTCTTGACTGCTTGTTCCTTTACTGTTGATGGTTGATTCTAAGAGACAGAAGTTATCCACCACTTCTGTATCTTCACTGTCAGTTCTAAGGCTGGTTGTTCTACCTGCTGTCATTAGTTTGGTGGTCTTATATAAATATAATTTTAGTCCCATTTTTTCACTGTGTTCCTTGACTTTTATTACTAGAGCTTGCAGATCCTTTCCATTTTTGGCTATCAGGGTAGTACTGATGATTCTTCCTCCAATTTTAAAATCACACTAGTCATCTTCCAATCCAGCTTCCCTTATATATTCAGCATATAGGTTGAATAAATAAGGGGAGAGAAATTTTTCTTTTTTTAAAGTAAAGTATTAATTTACTTTAGGATCAACATACTAGACTTTAGATATATTCATTGATACCTGCTTGTAATTTATTGGCTAGATTCACATACTAAGCTAATACATGATTATGAGTGCAACCTGTTGTGTGAATTAATCCAATGTAGTTTACTGTGTTGTGTGAACCTAGCTGATTGTGATTTATTCAGTGAACAACAGGTGAGCACTGTGTAGTGTGTTGTGTAAACCAGAATCATTGATGGCAACTAATAGCCTATGGGCAGATTTTAGCTGCCTGACTGAAGCAGTACCTTTTCTGGTCCCAGTAGTAATATAAGAAGAGAAAGATGATAACATTCCTCCCATTATCTCCACCACCTTATGCCAAGATTCCATAATCTTGTACCTTCTCAGGCAGGTTAATCTGAATTTACCTTAGCAGGGATTACATTAGAAATAAGAGAAAGAAGAAATTTTAAGAAACCAACATGTGTTTGCATGTCAGCTATGCAAGTGATCCTACTGCTTCTGGAGCTAAGATGCCTATGCATACCTCCCCATAGGTCATGGGTTCTCTCTTTCCATTTATGCTTCACTTCATTTCACTTCACTTCACTTCACTTCACTTCACTTCACTTCACTTCACTTCACTTCACTTCACTTCACTGAAGTTTCCCCAATAAACCATTTCACTGAAGTTTCCCCAATTAACTTGCCCATTAACTCCATGCTCAGTTGGTACTATTGAGGGAAAGCAGTAGTACAGTGGAGGGAAGAAGAGCTTTAATTGACTGCCAAATACAAACAACAGTGACTTTCTTAGAGTTCCTGGCATTAGTGACTTTTCTCTTGATTCAGCTAATCTGCGTGTTGCCTGTCTTTATTATCCTATTTAAGCCCCTATGGTCTATTCTCTCATGTTTTTGACAGCTGGCACTTCCCATCTTTAAATCTAGCCCAAACCTAGCTGCTGCCTGCATGAATGGGTTAGGAAGAAAAGTTCTTTAAAGAATTATCAGCTCTTTGATTTTTGGGGCTTTTCTCCTGGTTTCTTTTTGCCTCCCTATACTAGGATAAAAAATGTCTAATGAGGTTGGAAATAAAAATGAAAAATGGTGGGAGGAGATCAGCCTAATTGTTTATAATAAAATTGTTCTTCAATGTTTCTCACATCTGTGGAGTTAAGCATTTGGAGGATGCTACTGAGATCAAGAGGTTGGGAAAAATTGACCTTTCAGTCAAAAATCAAGCTCATTTGCAACTCAAAAGCAGTGGCACCTCCCAAATAGGTTTACAACAGCTCTAAGAGGGTCAGACCTGCCAGGTTTGCAAAGTTTTATTTTACTTCTTAAGTGTCACTGCAAATACTTCTTAGGCAATAGTGGGTTGAAAATAATCAACTTGTCTAATCTCTGCATGCTTTTGCCAAGGTTGGAAAACAGAGTGAAAGTAAACTTGGCCTCTCGCTACTGCAAAATTAGGCTTGCAAGGCCTCTAGATTTATATTAGATTTTTTAAAGATTTTTTTTATCCCACCTTTATTGTTTTTTATAAATAACTCAAGGTGGTGAACATACTAATACTCCTTCCTCCTTCTGTTTTTTCCATGACAACAACCCTGTGAGGTGGGTTGGGCTGAAACAGAGGGACTGGCCCAAAGTCACCCAGCCGGCTTTCACGCCTAAGGCAGGACTAGGACCCATTGCCTCCTCCTTTCTAGCCTGGTGCCTTCACCACTAGCCCTACTGAACAGAGCATATGCAGTGGAACCACTTGTAGGCAATAGTATTTGTAATGGTTCCTGTGAGTTAATTTTACATCATGCCCTCATTTTAACCATTCAGTCATGCCTGATATTTATTTAAGTTCCTTGTTCAGTACAGACATTCTGCACGGGTAACTGTAACAATTAGGCATTGTTACTTCACTACTTTTTGTATAGGAATTGCTGGTAGAATTATTACAGGAATGAAGAGTCATTGAACAAAGTAGATACAGACTGGGTTTAGATTGCTTACTCTTTTTAATTTTTTTTTTTCACACAGATAATTTTTATTTTTTGGAAGGACAAAATGATGCTTTGCTTTGCGGTAACAGTACTGATGCAGGGTAAGACCTATTACTGTATTAAGCTTTTAAAATAGCTGCAACAGGTTTTGATATTGGCCTGTACATTATAACTGATTTATTTAAAGTATGTTCTGCTTTACACACTGGGACTGATTTCCTCAGATAAGAGTTTAATTTTTACTAATGTAAATGCTGTTATTATTTAAGTATGTTGAGTTGGAAATAAATAGTTGATTGATTATGTGCCATCAAATAATCTTGAACTCCTAGCAACCACATCAGTAGATTCTCTCCATGAATAAATAAATACATAAATAAATAAATAGTAAAGACATGAAAAAGAAGGTAGTGGTGTCATGAGAAATCCAAAATTCCAGTCTATTTCTGAAGCAAATTGCCTCAATAATGAGAAAGAAGCAACAAACATGGAAGGGGAGAAAGTTGCTTAGTTAGCATATGAATATGAATTTATCTAATTTTACATTTTTAAGTGATTTATGAACTGAAAGTTATTTTTCTCTGAATTTTAGAATGCAGTTGGCCAGGAAAAGTTTTTGACCAAAACTCTGCACAAATAAGAAATTCATGAAAATAATAAGACAATGCATTATTTTAATTATTTGCAAAAAAAATGTGTGCATTAAAATTGTAAACCAAAATGAATAGATTTATACTTGAAAAATAAATATTTAAGACAAACTTTTTAAAAAAATCTCAGAGTAATACAGGAATGGATTAAGTTGAAATGAGGAATGGAAAGATGCATAACTGGGGGAATTTGAAACTGATAGATTCACCCATCCAGAGGAACATAGAATTGAAGGTTCCAGCTTGTTAAGGGAGAGGGCAGAGAGTGAACAGGAAGATGGGATACAGCCCTCTGAGAAAGAAAATTGAATCCAGCTCTTCCCTTTGCACTCAGCTATAGGCAAATGTGAATTTAATACATGGTAGGTATTTCACTAGCATTAATGAGTGCCCTTGTATTTATTTGTTTATTTCAGTCAATGTCCAGAAGGCTATTTTTGCATAAAAGCTGGAAGGAATCCAAACTATGGTTATACAAGTTTTGATACGTTCAGCTGGGCCTTCTTGTCTCTCTTTCGATTGATGACTCAGGACTTCTGGGAAAATCTATATCAGCTGGTGAGAGAGAATTATTTAGGTAGCAACATTTTAAGTATACTAATTTCAAAAGAAAAGTTATATGAGTAATCTAAACATAAGTGGCATGATATTGAGTAGCAAATTTGTATATTTGTTTTAAAATATCAACTATTATTTTCCCCAGACTCTACGTGCTGCAGGCAAAACATATATGATCTTTTTTGTCCTGGTGATTTTCTTGGGTTCTTTCTACCTGATCAACTTGATCCTGGCTG